GGACGGCCAAACCGCGAATCCGAAAGTTTGAACTAAGCTGAAAGAATTCGATTTCCTATATATAGCTAGTGACAGATGCGAAAACCATCGCTCGCCTACACATCATCTGCCAACACGCTGACTAAGAAATGGCTTGGGAAACGAAGATATCTGTAGTAAGTATACAGTCGTTTTATTCCTTTCGAGCGGTAAAACATTTCTAAAACCTACTACTTAAAACATTATTGCGTGCACTGAATTTCTTGTTTCTGGTGCGTGATGCTTGTATCGAGCTTTCAGACACCAGGATCTGGTTAAAATCTTCGAGTGCTTAAAGGTCTATCTTGACATAATAATAGTGAAAAAAGGATTCTATGCGATGTACATTCTTTACTTTAGTTATCACAATGATATAAAAGAGATGGAGAGAAATGTACTTTTGCGGGGCGATCAAAATCGAGTGTATAACAGGATAAAGGAAAATGTGTGAAAAATGCATAAATATTAAGATATGCCATCGACAATAAACGCATCAAAGCAATATGGTCTTTCCCAGGCGAATTGTTTTGCTTCCTTTCTGAGCAATGTTCTTCGATTTTCATTTAAAGAAATGCTTTTTTGTGTACAAATGCGTCAACACAATCTCAGCACGTTAAAACCTTTTGCTTTGTGTTTGTATGTGTAGCCGTTTAATAGAATATCTCTGAGTTCTTTCCAATGAATAATGGCTTAAGTAACCGCGCAGTGAGGAGGATCTAGCAGAGCGGAAATTAAACGGTGCCTTTGTAATGCAAACACCCACAAACATTACAGTTGTTGTGATATCTTCATAACCTCCAGACGATCAAGAATCATTTCTAAATCCGAAAAAGTTCGTGCAGTTTTTGTGATATCAAAAGTGCTGTCCGAATGGGAATCAAGATAACTTACTTCAACGCGCTGCTAACCAAAGAAATCCACTTAGAGCGTTGAAGATAGATTTTTTGTCATTTGGATTTCCTACAATGACGGTGAAGCAGATTCACTTGAATGCTACTCTGTGTGCTGCAAAAAAGGTATTTCAAATTTTACAACACAAACTTCACAATCACTCAAAAAAAATAAGGAGTGGAACATGACAAATGCACTCTATTGTTTTACTTAATTTTTCCAGAGTAAAGATCGTTATCTTTGCCATGCGCTTATCTACCATTCTGTTTGAATGAAATTTTAGGCGAAGAAGAAATGAGTGGTAAAGAACTGACAATAATGAATTATAGATAAAAAAAATGGACAAAACAGTATATTGTTGAGTAATATGCTTGCATTACTTCATCAAAATAACTCTCAAACATGTTGCATAATTGTGGAAAATCACTACCTAGCAATGAGAACAGTCAAAATGAGCGGCCCGTAAGGGTCAAAATGCACTGATTGGATGTGGTGGCTGCATGCACCTATCTCTGTCAATATGTATAAGGTGAGACCGAATCGATGAACTGGATTAAGCCATTATTAATTCGAGTCGTTTGATTACTAGATTTCAATGCGAATTTGCACACACATTTAAGTCTTTTCCATCATTACCGCATTGCTCCACTTGTCAGACATGATTGTATTACTTATTGCTATCCTGTCACATGAAATTTCGACTTGTTGGTATTGTAATTCTTACTTTCAAAAAATTTAACCGTGTGATAGATATCAAGTTCTGACGCGTCGCCTCATCCATTTCCTCAATCTTCACTCGTTGTGCTTTAGCTATCACAAAACGCTAGTGAGTATCTTAACCCTTTTTTCTTTAAATTTCCTTCGTTATTAATTTTGTGGACTCCTTTTAGCTTTACTTTAATCGGTCCTAGTCCTCAATTTATTATGTTTCGCTTTGAACAACCGCTTTTTCTACTATGTTTCTGATGGCCTCTGTGTTTGAATTCTCTGGATGTGTGATTTAGCTCCGGGCTACACTACCTCTTTTTGCGAGCTAGAAAGAAAGGGCTTTGTGAAGCAGCACTCGGTACAAAGCTAGGAAATTGGCTTGAATATTACCACTTCCTAATGGTTTTTCAGCGAATTAGGAACATAGCAATAAGATGCTGTTTATGAATTGGTCTGACTCGAGGAGGCTATGACGAAGAAAGTATAGCCAAATTTGAAAATTACATATTTAAGTTTGCATCGAGAGAGATTGAAAATATTTTGGAAGAGCGAATTTTATTATGATGTAAATGCACTTGAGTAGTTACGTAATTGGAGTAATGCCTAACCACGGTACATTAAAGAATGTTGAAATATAACTATGTCAATAACTAAACATATAAACATCAAGTTTCGCAACTCTACATGTTAATTTAGTGCGCGAGGTAACAAGAAGAAATGGCTATGGAAAACGTTGGAGGTTGAAAACAGAATTTCTAGCGGTAAGCAGCTTTCATGTAGGATAAATGTTGTTGTCGAAGTCGGAAAAAATTATGCTTGTCTCAAGATTGCATTTCTCAAGTGCTCGCTCAAAAAGCTAAACAGAAGTTGCATAACAACATGCTAAGCATTAACAAAACTGACAGACATGGCCAGCCATATCGTCTTAACTAGATTTATGCCGAAAGGAGGGAAATAATAGGCAATCTTTAAAATAAAATCTCTAAGTTATAACAAACTGAAAACGTGCCGTAACTATGACAATTTGGCTCAATGTTGGACTTTTAAAACGCACGTGCCCACTATTAAACGATGTCTCTGCTAGACGCTCACTTTATCTTGCACTTGTGAAGTCTCAGTTATCCTACGCGACCCAAGTCTGGTCCCCGGACAAGATTGCATTAAAAACTCAAATTGAAAGGGTTCAAAGGAGGGCCACAAGGTGGATCCTCAAACAACCTGTAGGCGTGATGTCATACAGAGACAGACTTTTAACTTTGAAACTTCTTCCTCTGACATTTGACCGCGAACTCAAAGATCTTGTTTTTTTTTTACAAATGTCGGAATGGTTTTACTGATCTTAATGTTTATGATTTTGTTTCTCCTGTTTCTCACTTTCTTATTCAGTCGCTGCATGAGTGAGTAAGTAAGTGATCGTTTTTCACCTCACACATTTGAACACCCTTTTAGTTTTCACTTACCTTGGAATAAAAAGTTATCTCAGTAGACTTTGCCTTAATCATCAAGGCAGGCTTTAGGGCGCAAAATAGTGGACAATTTGTTGACTGCCAAACGGAATGAGACTCATTTTCTCTAAATATGTAAATAATGCCTTCAGCCATAGAGAAGGATACATTCAGTGATCGAACTCTTTTGTGTCTATCAGTCGCAAATATTTATTCCCTCGAAATGATATCAGTTATCATGAAAATCAGAAATTCTTTTCACCAAGGAAAGATAGGACAGTTATCTTCCCTCTAAACATGCTTTGCGATAAATTTCTCCAAGATTTTATTTGATCATATGCTGATTTCTCCTGAAGTAGTAACACAGTCAAAACAGGCAGGTGTCCATTATAAACAAAGTTAACAAAACAATTGCGGGGAATTTTTTTGATATAAAACCAAATTCTCATAACTGATTCTTAGAGCAACACTTCGTGTTTCCAGCGGAGAATTTTTTCATCAAAAATATCATTGTAAAGGTTCAAACCGAGCTAAAACTTAAAGAGGGAGTATTGGATTTCCTAACGAATGTACTCGGGAACTGCTCTTTGTAAACTGAAGGACTTTACACATAAGGCTCTATTAATCCATTACACCTTAATATTGCCTCTAAGAAAGGACTATCTTACCCAACAACATAAATAAAAATTTAAAAGGCCTCTTTTCTTGCTTTATTACAACGTATGGAAGATGGGAGAGGAAATGACAGCTGTCCATTTTTACAAATTCTGGTGATTAATGATGAATCCGCGAGTAGTAATTCTAATTTGCTGATGTACAGAAAGGCGAATTCAACATCACAGTGATAATATATATTGTGCGTGAAAATATGGAAAGCGAATAATATTATTGTTTATTTTGGTTATTAAATGTCCAGCCAAACCTTTGATTAGCGATGTAATATTAGTGAGGCAAACTAAGTAACAATTTTACCGGTCGGAAGAAAAAAGAAAAAAAATCGCTTATTAATTTTCTCTCTAAACTCTTTTGGCGATGATGGGTCCTGTGTTGGAAAATTTGTTGCTTAAGAAAGACATTCGCTTAACATATCGAATATAGATCTTCAGCGATTTTTAGTTTTGCTGAGGACTAAAATCTCAAAATAAACTGCAGCAGCTCACATTCAATTTCATTCACTTAGAATTAAGAGCGAAATTCATAACACAAGATGTTTTGCATAATGTTTGTACTTCTGTTATTTACCGGTTACATGGTTATTGAGATCGAGTGCTTTTCGTGTCATCGAAAATTCAAATACTGAAATATTTTAGAAAGCGCCTCCCTTTGAAAACTACTTATTGGGGGCTTTTGAGGAGTTCCGCAATGATATTAGCAATTTGAGAGTAAGTGTGATCCGCTTCGGGTTAAATTCGAGTGCGACCCGCAATGTCTCACTGGATGTAAAGATGCCCGGTGTCTCTAATAATTTGATTTTGTTTGCCTTTTGTGTTGCTATAATAGGCTTTGCCCAGTGTTTCTTGGTGTCGACTCAATGCTGCAATTATGTCTTAGCGTATTTGACAACTCATTGGCTATATCATTGGCTATATTAGGGGAACAGGTGATGTTTGAAAGCAGGTGGTAAAACGATTCAATAAAATGTGGATAGAAAACCAGAAATATCTAAAAAGTTTACTCTAGAATTAATCGATTCTTACCACTTCAACACCTCGCAACCGAGATCATATGGATCAAGGCTCGTCGAGGAGACTTAGAAACCTTTCATCGAGATCTCGCCGAAAAAAATAGAGTTTTTTATCGTAAATTCGGATGAAATTTGATTCGATGGAGTGAAGGCCTTTGAAATCGCGTTTGTGACAGTTCTGCCTACTAAAAGCGCATTAAAATTAATGAAAATCACCATAAATTTTGCTTACCCGGACAGGCGAGTCAATTTAGAAGACGACACTATAACAAATTCAGATTCGGCCATGTAGGTGTAATTGTTGTCAGAGAGGAATCACCACTCAAAGAAGGACAAGGAAACGGGAAATAGGGCAGAGAGGTTCAATGATCAGAATTCACGATGATAATTTTAGATTCCTCTGGATTGTTTGCAAAGGTAAGCTTAAATCATTTTCCCATATTGAAAGCTGACCTCATATGCGTCAGAAATTCTTTTCCTACTGTCTCTTAATCTGAGTGTTTTTCTCTTACCAGATTAGCCTTGTGATCCTCATGCTGAAGCTAACCATGTCGGTTAACAATAGCGGTAAGTTCAAGTGTGTTTGCCAAGTTACATCCTATCGAACTAAGCTTGTCTCCGATTAAGGAGGCTACAAATAACATGTCTAGTAAGAACTAAGCTTGTCTCCGATTAAGGAGGCTACAAATAACATGTCTAGTAAAAGTGATACATAAGGCCTACTGAGGCACGCAATGTGTAAACAAAACAAGCGAAATTTTTCACCTGTTTCGAAGTAACTCAGAGAAAAAGAAGCAAGCATACTGATTTTTATTTCCTACTTAAATAACTTCGAATTTTGAAAACAATCGGGAAGCCAGCGCCTTTGTCATCTAATTTTAATAGCTCTGTGTCTAAACGCGATAGGAATTCTGTCAGCGAAATAATTGTGCGTGGTAACAAAAAAGGGAAAATACGAGAAGCATTGTGATAAAGCTTTTGTGGTAAAATTTGCCATCATTGAGTATGCCTTTTCTTGACCGCATGCGTATATGTAAAAGATTAAAAATTACAACATTTCTTGACTGCGGAAAGGGAGGCAATTTGTTTGTTATATAAGGCAGACAAATTTTGTTTGAAACGATCACAAGGCAAATACGAATGATTGTTTTCAAAATCCCATTTAAGAAATATAGGATGCGCTACAGCGATGCGAAAGTTAAGAAGCTGTAGGTGTCCATTAAGAAAACAAAAGTGGTTAGCCAAAAAATCTATTACAAAAACAATCGCTTGTTTTACATACCCAAATATGTCATGCAGATATTACCGATGTCTGAACGCATTATGCGAAAAGAAAATTATTGAAACCCCTTGGTGCGACTTTACCTCAAGCTGAGAGGAAAGGGAAGAATTCAAGAAACCGTCTCTATTTTCGTTTGCGTTATTATTATTAATTAGCTCCCTTTGTGCTATTTTTGTTAACACTTCCCGCGTAATGTTCACAAAGGAAGCTATTTTTTGAACGAACTCCAGTAATTAGTCAACATTTGTAAACACGATTCAACTTCGTCTCGGAACTGACACATCTGTGCGTGTTATAGTAAGTTCATTTATTAGAGGTAATGGCAAAACCTCCGTTTTTTCATCAGTTTTTCTTTTCGTTGTAAACCAATGCCAAAAATATTGAGTTCTTTTTTTAAACGAGCTTTCTGCGATAAAAACTTTTCAATTTCGCGACTGACTATATTTTTGTTACACAAAAATACAACACTCTTTTACCTCCTTTCTAAGAATTTGAGATTTCACAAATTTTACACGTGCCTTCAACTCGACAAAACCTTACTTTACATCTACTCTTTTTAATATTTGAAAGCTCTCATGGTCCGACACATTTGGACATCTAATTAAACGTAGGCTTATAGAAGTTTCATGGCGTTTTCCCACAAACCTATTGAGTCAGATCGAAAGCATAAACAGCACTTCTCATCATATATTTTTCATGGGCACACGTTCTAAACCTTCTAAGTACGAGATAATTTAAGAATGAGGGCGCCAAAGAGTCGATACCTTTTTGCAATTAATTATAGATCATGCCAGTTCCCTCAAGAGAATGTTTGAGAATTCTCCTTGGAGTAAAGATCACGAGTAAAGACTATCAAGTTATTCTTCAAATGAGACAAGACGGCGTGTAATTGGTTATGCAAAATTTGGTTCGTGTTGTATCTTTAACATCAGGTGTAAACATTTCTTGTGGCAATTTCGGCAAAGACTTGATCATCAAAGATAGATCACAAAATTTAAGTGTAAAAGAGATACAAAGATTTTCTTAACAAATTCGTCAAAGTTAAAGTCTTTTCTTTCCAGCTGTATGAATTATAGCCCGTACGTCTTAGATAACCTGGGAGGAAAATATCTTTGAGGGAGCATATTTCTTCAATCAGAATGAAAATCTGTCAATTCTCATGAGTGGTAGAGTTCCTCTTCATAATTGGATGCCAGTGTGGAATGAAAACACTGAGGTTTATTAGGATGGTAATTTGCAACCGCGTTAAAAGTGCATCAAAACAAACGCGGGTAAGTTCCAGAAAGAGAAACAAAAATAAACAAAAAACAAAAGAAGCATATTCACAAATGCATATTCACTTAAGGTGCAACAAGATAAAGAATGAGGGGAAAATGATAATGATAAAAAGAAACAAAAAATCAACTTCTAAGCAAAAAGATGAATGGCCATTTTTATTGTTCTAACTATTTGGTGGTTTTTCCCTTGTTTTGCAAGAAATGCTTCGTAAACTCTCGCTTCTTACAGTTCAACAAAGTTCACTTTCGTTGTTTAGCTTCAAGTTACAATTGTATCATTTTCGGCCCTTCCAAAGAAACACCAGAGCTAATCATAGCCTTGAAAAGAAAATTTGAGTCTCGATTAATAAGAAAGAAAATTTTAAAGACATTTTTTTTGCGACGAACTTGCAATACTGACTGCGCATTGTAAGGAAATAGCTTTATCAATGTTTTACCCTCCAGAGGTTCGTGTCGTACAAGTAGGACGAGTAGCTTCCCAGGTGGTTTGCCAAGGAACCACATTAAAGTTCAAATGCCAAAACACTTCTCTTGCAATGGTCATCTATTCCGCGGTCTACGGACGAGAATCCAAAGGAGCCGTTTGTCCATTTGCAGAGGCCTATGTGGATGATTCAGTAATAAGGGCCAATGAAACAGACGACCAGACACTGTGCAAGGTAGTGGATGTTACTCGGCTGATAAGAGAGCTGTGCGACAAGAAAAGGCGATGTAATTTTAGCGTAAATGAAACCTACTTTGGAAATCCTTGTAAAAAGATTTACAAATATGTCAACATCATTTACGGTTGTGGTAAGTTTTTGTTGAGATAATTTTCAGTTTTTGTTTGTTTGTTTGTTTGTTTGTTTTTTTTTACATAATGCCACAGACATACATGTTGTCTACAAAACTAAAGTCAAAGGAGGATTTAGTAATATATAGAATGTTCTAAGTTATTTCAAAGTTTGAAAAGATGTTGACGACCGACCAATTTACCCTCTTTCGCTCTGTAAGGAATTCTTGCGCACGCATTGTTTGAAAATTAATTTAAGGCAAAGCTTTGTAAGTCTCTAACTTAATGGAATTGCACGAATTTTAAAGCTTTTTTTCCTACCAGCTTTAAGAGCCAGTGTAACTGGTGAACGTTTCTTCACTCTCTGTCTTCACAACTATCCCCCTCTTTTCTTCTTATCTTGTTCTTTCTTCAGAGGAGAAATGGAAAATCAGGACTTTCCCTCCGTACACCACTTCTGCTGGTTACGGCACAGATCCCACGACAGTAACAGTCACGAATAATAAATCAAAAACGCCTAAGGTAACACCCACACGTAAAAGAGTGACAACTTTGACCACTCGAAGGAAAAAACTCACAAACACCACCACGAGAAAGAGTCGTGCACGCACGCCTAAACCACCGCATTCAACAAAGCGCACCACTGCACCAAAAACTACTTTTAAACCTACTTCTAAACTCTCTACTCGTTCCTCAACTGAAATGCCCGCGAAAAGGCCAATAACGTCTGCCAAAATGACAAAAAAAGTGACACCTACTAAGAAACCCGTCCATGATACTACCACTGAACCCCTAATAGTAAGTAAAGGTGTTGAGACTGTAACACCGAGCATCACGGTTCCGAAATCTGATGTTAGTGTAATAGTAACTAATCCTATAGCCTCAACAGATCCTATCAATGAACAAGACAAACATTCTCCAACCACATCCACAGGTATACTTATCACAATACCAGTCAACGGTACCGATTACACATTAGCAAACAAGACACTGAATAACTTACCAAACAGCGCACTATCAAGCATATTGACCATAACGCCCACGGTACGTATACCCGATGGCAAAACTCGACAAAACCCCTCACCCGAAACTGCTTCCACTTCTGCACCAGTGGTCATGGGACAGGCAAGCCCAGAAGTCGTCATGGGTGTGGCGGGATCACTTTACCTTTGGTTTCTCCACATGAAAGGTCAGCCTCACGTGGTCACTTTTGATTCACACAAAATTGCAAAACATGTACTCATTAGGCACTTTTGTGTTTTTTAAACCAGTACTGAGCTGACGAAGACGCAAGAATGTGTTGTTAAAGTTGATACACTAGTAGCATTGGGCCTTAGAGATCTCGATTGATGGCATATGTCTCACTGTATAACAAACACGTCAATGCTGATGCTGTATGTTTCACGACAATAGGCCTCTCTCTCTTCAGTCAAAATGCACTCGAGCAAGAGTATAACTTAAAAATTGTTATAATCTGGAACTAGTCATAAGCCTTGAAAGCATGAAAGACTAATGTTGTGGGTTGAGAAAAATCCTCCCTTGATGCCATGTTAATCATCATTTAACGAGGAGTAACGTACTCTTACTATATTCTACGTTTTCTTTAGGAACTATGGGAGGGCTTGACATTATAGTCTAAATACATTCATTAACCAAGTACATCAAAATAATGACGACACTTTTTCATCACTTGTAGAAAACCAAGCAACCTATACTACAGTCTTCATTCTGAGTGCTTTGGGTGCAGCCATAATTATGGTAGCGGTAGTAGCTTGCTTTTTAACCCTCCAGAAAAAGAAGGAATTTATCAAACTTGACGTTATGCATAAACCAAAGAGATTTATTGAGCTTCCCAAGGAATCAGGGACGAGGAATCAGAACGGACATGTTCCTGAAAAAGTTAATAAGCCAACGGATGCAGAGGAAGCACCCGATGGGATGATGGTTCAAAAGGGGCCGGAAGTGGTCTTCACCGCACACGATGTCGATAATCACGTTCCTAAAGAGTTTAACATTGATAGGTGAGGGTAAATTGGGAATCAGTGAATAACAAGTAATTGCTATTGGCTATTATGCTCAATTACATGTAATAAAAGAATTTCAACTGGAAAAATATGTTTCGGTAATTCAAGTCCTTACCAGAGAATCATTATGGCGTTAGCATTAGTCTTAAAACATTTGATGAAAGTTGAAATCCAGAGTTAATGTCCCAATATATAATGAATGCAAACTTTAACAAAATTTAGAGACCCAACCGTTCTCGACATTCCAAAGAATCTTTTTGAGAGGAGGACTGGGCTTTAAGAATATATACACTTTCATGTCAAATAAAGTTACCAGCTCCACGAAATTTATATAATTGCCGACTTAAAGCTTCTAAGAAAATTTTCGAACATTTCCGAGCAACCCCCTTGAACAAACTTAATTTGTTGAGGAATCAAACTTCTACAAAAATTGGTCTGTACCTTAATCTTGGTTGAAACTCAAACTTAAACATTTTTTTTTCTTGTTAATAATGTGACCATACTGAGGTCGCTTTGGTCTCTTTTTACAACAGGTATCCTGGAACAGAAAATGGATCAGTGAAGAAAGAAAATGAGCCAGGTATTCACGTCAACCCAATGTTTAATAATAACAACAAACTTTTCAACCTTGTAAATGATACACACCAAACAAATCCACCTGCCAAAGATACAGCCAACAGTCTACCGTCAACCCCATCCAGAAGTCGGATCCTAAGTGAACCCAGAACAGGACCAGCACGGCACGGTAGAGCAAATAGCACTGGTAACGTATCCAAGAGTCACGAAAGGCAACACAGCCAAGGCATATCTGATTATCAAGACGAGAGGACGCGAATACCTCGCCACCTCAGTGCCGGAAATGTATCACATCAGCATCGTCACATGGTCTCTGAACATGCTTCGCATCCTCAATCTCCTGCTAAGACGCTACCCCGTCAAAGAACTCCCACCGGTAACCACTGGCATCAAGCTGCACAACCAACACATACAAGTGGAACTTCTACCCCGGGGATGATAAACAGCACATCGCAGCAACACTTACCAGCCAGATCAGTTTCAGGGGGAACTCTATTGAGTCAGAGCTCCACCTTGAACAGCAGACAGCAAAGTCCGGGTATTGGGCAACTGTCACCCTCAAGAAACCCACAGCATAATCCTCCTGATCATTCGCTGAGGGATGTCGGACTAGTAACGCTTGGAAGGGATCGAGAGCCGAACAACCAAGGAAAATCACTTTCAATGGCTCCTGGAGAGCAACAATTTGCTGCACACAATTCAACACGATATCAAAGAGCCAACGTTGGTCCAAATTCTCCAATGAAAGTTTCCAGCTCTTCAAATGCGACTCTGGGGCTCAGTAGCAGCAGTGGATCGAACAGTCCCTACACAGCTCAACGAAACACTCCCATACTAAACAGGAAATGGAGTGAGGTAAAATCAGAAAGTGATGTTGTTCCAAATATAACAACCAACCCAAATTACATCAACAGGCCGGGCGAAATATGGTTAGATGACAGCGATCCCAACACGGGACACAAGGATGCAACAGGCAGAAGCTTAAGCACTGACCAAGGCAACAAGCAAGGTGGTATCCTTCAGCACAGGAGAGAGTCTACTGAAAAAAGCTCCTCGCAAGAGCAGTTTTCTCCTAAAGGTACGATGCGTGCTCCTAGCATGGGAGAGCTTCTTTCTCCTTTAGATGCCTTGCCAGATGTATGCGCAAATAGTACAAGTTTGCGTTTATCTGACCGGCATTCTTATAGAAATACTCAAGGAACTTCATCTTTTCACCCTTCTCCTCCTCAACCCCCGGAGCCACCAGACAGTTCTGATGATGATCTTTATAGTATCGTAGCTAAGGGCACCTATACATCAGCAGTACCTGACCCTAACTTAAGACACACCACTAGGGCTACATCTGTTGGAAGAGAAGGTAAAACCAGAAGTAAGCACGTATATGTAGTTGTACCCTCAGGGGACGGTTCGACTGCGGTGTAACTTCACCTTCAACCAATGGATGAGAAGAGGAGATACTACGCAGCTGACGCAGCCAAAGTCCTTTGAAGAGGACGAGGACGTTGATCATCGTATCAAGCTAGTTTATATAACTTATGCTAGTATAAAAATTTAGTGTGCCGCCCTGGCTCAAGAAATTCCCTGTCTGTGTGCTGGAGGACTCAGTCTGATGTAGGTCGTGGATTGCTACTGGAAAGGACAGCTTAATTAGACTATATTAATGCACTTTTGTTTGCTTATCTTCATTTCTTAATATCTCAAAATGCCTTTTCCTCTTGCACTATCATTTCTAAGTTCTCTGGGGGTCGAGGTATTTTCTCTGACTTTGACTTACACTTTCCTTTGCACTTCTATTCCCGTTTCTCTCGATATCGAGCTACTCACTTACAGTGATCAACATGACAATGTCTTTTTGCTTTACTTCAGTGATAGAAAGCGCCAACGATAGAAATGTTGACGATCTCCAACCAAAAAATACCGAAATTTCTGTCCTCGATAAGATTTTGGGACTGCCTCGATTCTTCTTCGGAAAACGAGAAGGAAAACTGCCAACAGAACAAACCTGATCATGAAATCAAAGTGTGAAAGACATTGTAGACAGGCGAAGGTACATTATGTTTAACAAAAGACATGTACCGCTCTGCTTAAAAATAACTAATCCTTCATGACAAGTATACAAGGCAACCATACAACACACCAGACAACAGTTATCAGGAACCAATTGACAATATTCACCAATGACATTAACGTAAAGTTGACAGGTCTACGGAAAAGAAGGCAAAAGGGTGAGTCGTTCAACTTGAAGGTGAAACTAAAAATATATTAACTCTCTTCAACATTCAAAACAAACTTACAGTAGACATCACTCATCGCATTGGACTGAGTCTTCCAAGACGCAGGACGATTAAATTTATGCGTCAGAATCAAAAGATCAAGAGGCGATTTTTCGCCAGTTACGAAACGCCTATGGCTGTTGTAAAGATAACTTTGTGCTGCAAGAGAGATTTTTTGTCTGTAGGTGGTGGGATTTTTTCCAGCGTCGTAGACTTGGTTGACTTCTTCGAAATGATCTTTTCTAAATGAAAACTTTACTCAGATTCTGCCTGACTCAGCTATAGATTCTTGGTGACAAACGCAGAATGTTAATAATTCGGATGGAAGTGACAACGCTGTTGAATGGAATTAGGATTTTATTTTACACATTGTGGTACTTAGGATTTTTAGCTTTGTTGCGAACAATTTGCAAATTAAGAGCGTTGTAGACTGATACTACTTTTTTTGCAGCAGCTTCATCTTTTTTGATATCGCGAAGGGCAAACTGGAACTGACATTTTTTATTTCATTCGATATAACAGTTGAACAGCATTCGCTTTGTTAGGGGGTTTTTATTCTCGAAGGGAACGAGAGCTGGCTTTTGTATGTTAATAAGGGAAATCATCGGGTGTTGCCTCTCTCTCTCTCTCTTCGTTCATTCGAATCGTTTGCAGAACAAACCCGGGTCTCACCGACACACATGGCCTGAGTTTAGTTTGGTTATGGGAATAAGAGGAATAAGGGCGATAATAGCTTTTTCTTTGTTCATATCCCATAATAAAATGATTGTGTCTGTTACCTGCTCAAGGCTGGCCCTTGCAATATAGGTGTTTTTCAGTAGAATTGAGCTTATACTAAGTAACGAACATTGCCATCAGATTAATAGTCAAGATTTTTAAATTGTTAGACTTATAATTACCAGTGTGCTCTCCTCGTAGAGACATCTTACCAAAACGTTAGCAAAGACTACGAAAAGAATCAGCATGCAGCAAAAGAGCACCTGTGTTCTTGGAAACTGGTAGCTCTAGTACAGTGTATTTAAAGAGACAACCGTCAAAGACAGGGCAGCATGTTTTTCGTGACAAAAGCATCTTTTTGTAATGCTTTAATAGGTCTGCAATGTGTTTGTGTGCACTACACTGTGTGCCAAATTTAATAAAATTTTTCAGCTGATAAGTGTTTTATCTAAGGTGCTACTTCAACTTGCAAGAAACCGGACTCGTCTAAGAAAAGCTAAATTGCTTCCAAGCGTTTGATACAAAATCCTAATCCTGTAAACATTGCAGGCCTGTTTCTGAGGCAGCAGTTTTTATCCCCAGGTTCCTTTGTTGTGGACCATGCCATCACAGGAGCGAAAACCTGGAATAAAACTATCGGCTGGGAATATATTCAGCAGTAAATTAAGAAAAGGTAAAGTAATGAAACCCTATTTCTCATTCACAGAGATCAAACCTGTTTGACAAGTCTGGCGTTTAGTCTTGCATGTATGGCGCATTTATAGTGACAGAAGGAAAATAAAATCATGTTTAACCGTACGTCTTATTGACGATACAATTTCATTGTCTAAGTGGCCTAGGGTAGCAACCTTGTAAATGCGGGCGCAACTCGATTATTCGGACACGGGATTGGACTGAATAAAGAGAGTCTGGATAATCAAAAATATGAATGTTAATGGGCCAAAAATAAAACTGAATACGAATCACTTAATCAATACAATACAAGAATTACAGGGCTGTCTTAAATTATCGTGTATCACTGCTAACGTTGGCTAAAGTATTTACAAAACATTTACGACAACAACGTTTTACGACCAAAACTGCTGACGTAGATCAGTTTGTTTCAAGCTGCTATAGCGTGCTTCACTAATTCTATCATTCTTTGAGGCTGATGATAGCGTCAACTTCTGTTTTGTTTAACGGATAAAAGTTTTTATGGATTTCGAATGTGACTACAGAATAAACGACGATTTTTTTACACTTAATCACAGCAAACTAAAACAGGACTGACCCTGGATAGACATTTTATTTATCAGCTTGTGTCCAATGGAACCCACAATTCTGCTTATTCGTCATCGTCATTTCACGGCATAAAGGAAATTATTAGATCATTAAAGTTTTTTTAAAAGTTTGCCATAAAGGATGAAAACAACAGAGATCACAGTTGACTTGCGCACAACTTGGAGTATTGTAAGATGGACCGGCAGTTTTCTATTTTCACCTAGATTCACTGACGCCTCATATAAGGAGTACTTTGAGTGTGAGACAAGTAAAGAAAAAAAAGCTAGAAACGACTACCAGTTACGTACTTCATGACGTACTTTGGGCGCCTCTTTATCAAATGGAATGTCATTACGAATAGCAGAGTTCTAAGGTGGTAAATCCTCTCCCAGAAAATGAGTCGATACAAACTATCGGTATATTTTATTCGTGATTGCCTAAATTTTTCCCCACCAATCCGAAGCAAATATGAAAACTTCTCACAGAGCAATATCTAGGTCATTACATCGACTAATTCACACAGCGTAAACAGAGAATGGCGCCCCATGAGGTCATCTTCTAAATTAACTAAGGTTATTTTATTACTGTTGGTCGCGTTCTCATGATTAAAGATGATGTGCAGTTTGTCAAAAAGAAAGAGGTAACCAGACAATACAGCCACGCAGTTTTATTAATTTTACATTGAGGTTTCAAACTGCAAACTTAAAATTTTCGTTTCCGGCTTAAAATTATAAGCAATCCATTTTCTATTTCTAAATGCTCTTGTGGCTTAACTCAATCAGCAATCCTTGGTTTACATCTTTTACTGATTAACATCCTGGAGTTCGTCTCTTTCCATTTTGCAAACATCGTTCATGGTAGCGCACATGTTCCTAATAGTCCTCCGGACATTACTTAATTTCTGCAATTGAGTAAAAACGTAACAATTCATTCTTTAAGGTTAGCTGAAGAAAAATATACTCGTGGGCATGTATACATGACTTTTGTTCCTAGCGATACTGATTCTTGCTTAAAATGCTAGACCACCTCTTTTCCTTCCGATTCGTCATGTTAATCAATAAATTACCGCAAAACATCGCCACAAGAAAGTGATCATGATTATCTAAAACGAAACCGACTATCTTCACTTTCCCTTTATCATTCTCTATCTTTCCTTCTTTCTTCCTTTCTTTCTTTCTTTATTTTTCATTATTTTTTCCGTTCTTCCTTTCTTTCTTTGCTACAATGTATCTGTCTTTCAAACTGCTGCCTTGAAATTTCCCTTCAATTGCAAAATTTTTATATTCCGAATTATGGTTAAGCCAAGTCGCACTTAAGTGATCAGATTTCGAGAAGTATGAAATCAAACATCAGTCCTTCAAGAAAGAGCTGAAAGAGAGGGCAAATTTTACGTTCAGATAGGATTTCTGAAGCCGAAACAATTTCAATGAAAGTAATGTTCACATTATCACGTTTTTCTTATTCGTGAGATTTAATTGCAAAAGGAGCGAGTCCGGTCCTTTTTTGTCCAGCTACAACTTTTTTCTATCTTCAGTGCGAATGCCAAGTGTTCCATGTAATAACTCAAATATAATTTATCTCGTGCCTTTTCACGCCATCGATGACCCGGACCATCTAATATCCACAAACGTATAAAGGATTTCAATGAACTTTATCATTTACTGCATTTTTGTAGGGCGTCATTTAAAAAATAACGCAATTTTAAAACACATTTTAAAAAATCTCATTTAAAAAAAAAAAAAAGAATGAAATTTACCAAGACGGATGATCTCTTCCCATTAAAGTCAGGGTTGTGACTTGCAACTGCCTCCGTTTCGGACTTTAAACTGGCTGCTAGCAGAACACAAAATGTTACAATAATAATCTTGCTGTCCATTTCTGAAAAGTAAGTGAAAGATAAACGGCTTTAACCTAAATGAACGTCTGCTCACGAGCTCAAATTTATAGTGGACCCTTGCACATATTTAGTTATCTAATACTTAAATATATGCCCTCAAATGGGTTCCTCTGACGCCAATATTTAATATACCACAGAATGTATCAAATGTCCTAACAGCCGCCCTACGAGACAAGGTCAAATTTAAGTTAAAGAGCAAAAGCATTAGATACCAGAGAATTCTAAATACGTTAACAAGCATTCTTTTTGATAAATCAGTGATAAAAATACTGATAATCATTATTGCGATGTTTTTGTTGAGCAACGTTTAATTTTCGATGATAAAATAACATACAGAAATATAAAGTAAAAAACAGGCTCCATTATAATTTTAAAAAAACGAGCAGGTTGATAAAAGGTAACATTAATTGCCTGTAGTACAAGATAGTACTGATTGGGACAACAGCAAATAGTGTTTGAACATCTGTTTAGTACTTAAGAAGTAAATGCGTCTCTAATTGATGTACCGCCCATTTACACGTTCAAAAAACGTTAAAAAGATCAATTTTCTTTAGTCCACTTCTAAATGGCGACAGTTTGACGGAAAATGAGAGTAACATAAATCGTGCCTTCCAAGGAAATTAGGTCATAGCGTTCGAAAAACCACTTATTTTTGTAATGCATTGTAGTTTAATTTTTTTTATATCATGATTGATTTTACTAACAATGTAAAAAATATGTGCTAGCCTTTTGGTCGTTAATGTAAGAAAGAGACAATAGCTTGAGCTAGGGGTTTGGCGTTAGCTTTAAGAAAGAAGTCATTATTCCAGAAACTGAACGTCCGAAAGCGAAACCTTTTTTTTTTCTTTGTGAAGTGTTTCTTCGCCATTTTTATCTATTCAAAGTAAATTATTATTGAATCTTAACCGTCAAATCATTGGTTAACCAAAATTGAAAAACTTTCGAGGTTTTGAGAGATTGAAAGCATTAATCGCTGCGATCGTAAGTGTTCATTCTTTAGTAAAAAGGTATTTTTAAGTGTAACGATTTCGACAACCAAGGTACAGAAAAGATTAAAGAAACTTGGCGTTTTTCTCGCTAAATTTGCCAGAGTAAGATTATACGAAAGATAAGAGGGCGGAAACAGGCTCAGCTTTTAAAGATGATGAAAAATGAATTTGAAAGCGATCTTCGCAGTAATGAACGCTTCTTAAGCAGTAGTGAAAATAAGGCCTGAAAAAAAAAAATAATAATCCGTAGTTCACATATGTGTATCCATACATTTAGTTATTTAATTCTAAAAAAAGCAAAGAAACAAAAAAATTTCGTTCCTCCAGCTTTATTATTGCATGACGTTGAAGAGGTATAGAGTTTAACGGTGGTTAAGAGAAAGACTGCAATTTGCATGAAAGGCAGCGGGATGGGGACGCTGGGGGGTGGAGGGGTATACCCGTTGGCTTAATAGTAGAGTATGATACGGGTTTGGACTAAAGGGCGGGCATCATCGAACAAAATCTGTCTAAAGAGTGGGCATACAACATGTAGAAAAATTGTCCATCAGAAGATTGATCTGTATGAAAACGTTCAAAGACCACGGTGACTGTGTAGTCCATCTAATCAATGTCTGCCAAATGCTTAGGTAAAAACATGTTAAGACTGCGGTGGCTGTGTAGTCCGTCTAATCAATGTCTGCTAAATGATTGTGTAAACCGTTGTTAAGCATTTCAGTATAAGCGTGAGGACTGACTACATCGCAAAGCCTCCATAGAACAGGTGTGAAAAACAGCACATACTAGAAGGTATCAATCATTCAGTGTAGTTCTACTAAAGGAGTCATATCTCTAAAAGCTAACTGAACTAAACGCTAAGCTTACTTGGGTAACTTTAAGGAAATTGGAGTCCCATTGCTCAGAGTAAAACTCGTACAGTCATCCGACTGCATCTCAAAATACAACAGACCATACTGCTTTTTGCGATTAAACAGTCCACTTGTACACTTAGTATAACTTACTTTCACGAAAAGCGAAGACTCAGTTTCGTTAAAATTTATTCATTCGGAAGAGCATTTCAGTCCCCAAAAAAAGATTCGCTACTTCTTCCATCTTTTTCCGATTAGTGTAGATGGGTAAGCCTGACTCGGAATACGGTTGAATTCACCCGCTACAGTTTCACTTGGTCGCATGTCTGGTTCATGACAAATGATTGGCCAGTTTTCTTAGCTTTAAGACTCGAGTAGTCCTTACTGAACTGGCTATCTTCGTTTTCGTTAGTATTACGTTGTCGTGTACTGGTTCTTGTCGTTGTTGCTATCTGTGTAGGATCATTACCTGAAAGTAGTTCCCTCTGTAGACCAGGCATTGACAAGAGTCGCTGTCAAAAGAGCGATACGTGAATGGGTCCAGGTCATTAATGTGACTGTCGATATCACCAACAACATTTCCCTGTTCTCCACACTCGTTTGTGTTCGGGCGGTCTTTTCTGCAGGCTTCTGCCATAAGCAGCACCCGATCCTGTCAACCGATTCTTGTCTTTTGTTTGGATCACCCCAAAAAAGGGCAAGAACGTTGCTCATGGATGTCGTAGAGTAAAGAGCAGTCCTCTAACTACCTACGCGGATATCTAAATTTTTCGGGCGTACCCCTGGCAAGCAGTGTAGTCAATGAAGTCGTCGGAGTCCAAAAAAGGGCAAGAACGTTGCTCATGGATGTCGTAGAGTAAAGAGCAGTCCTCTAACTACCTACGCGGATATCTAAATTTTTCGGGCGTACCCCTGGCAAGCAG